ACCTTGTTTTCCATGTCTTTCTTCATTATGTTAGCTTAGGTCTTTTTCTAGGGAATTGGATGAAGGTTATATTAATGAATTGAATGATTGATTGTGATTAGTATGAAATTGTTTCTTGATTATTGTGTATGGATGATGCTTTTATGGATTAGAATCTTTCTAGCTAATCGATTCTATGCTTTTAATTGTGTTTTCAATCAATTGTGCGAGAGTGAGTTGGTAGAGAGCCCTAAATTCTTCCATACCTTTGCTAGGCTAGTTGCACGAGAGTGAATTAGTTTAGTAGGATAATTAACATGCTTAATTGTGCGAGAGTGAGTTAAATGTGTTGATGTTCCTAATCGAAGTCAATTTCATACTAATCACAATCAATCATTCAATTCATTAATATAACCTTCATCCAATTCCCTAAAACAAGACCTAAGCTAACATAATGAAGAAAGACATGGAAAACAAGGTAAAATAAGAATAAAAACAAGATTAAACAAACAAACTAATTTATCTACTCAAATCAACAAAAAAAAAAAGCAAAAACTTAGAAATAAGCAAATAATAGAAATAAAGGATAAAAAAGGGTTAAATTATTGGAAAATAAGCCGGAAAACGACTCAATAAACACCCTAAAAGTGACATAAAAGTCACTTATCAAACTCCCCCAAGCTAACCTTTTGCTCGTCCTCGAGCAAATTAACATGAAACACGAGAGAAGGAGAATGAATTATTCAAGCAAATCTAAGACACTAAAGGAGACAAGAATGTACACTAACTCACTTTCGTAGGAATCACGGTCAATTTTAGCAACTAAAGACAAGCCCTTTAAACCCCTAGATCGCCCTAGAGGACGAGTGTGCTCTCGTGAGGGTGTCCTAAGAGTTTAACCTACAACTCTAAATAAAAACCAAGGAAAGGTAATAAAAAGAAAAGAAAAAGAAACAAAAAATTGAAAAAGAAACAAAAAACACAAAAAGCTTTTAGTTTGGTTTCGTTTTCTTCCCTAGTTTAAGCATTAAGGACAATGCTTCGTTCAAGCTTGGGGGGAGCGTTACTTCGTTCAAACCGTGCACACATTTACCACTTAGGAAGAAAAACATTCAAGAATGCAATTCCCAAAATAGAATGTCCAAAATAAGAACAAACAAAACACATTTTGCCAAAATTACCTTGAAAGTAAACAAAAATCTTTTTGGACTTTTCAAAATATAAGAAAAGATATGGAAATGCATATACTCAAGTGCATGGAGTAAATGAATCAACATCCCACCAAACATGATAGAATACCCTCCCCCAAGCTTGAATGAGACAGTATACTCAAACAAAAACCAAATAATCCATGGGAGGGGAAAAGAAAGAAATCAGTCCAACAAACCAACACACGTCCAACGAGTCACCAACCATTAGAGAAAGAGCTAAGAAAGATATTACCGGATATAGGTGGGTGTAAATACCCGCAAATGACCCAATTTAACCTTTCAAAGCCGATTTCCTCTTGAATTGAATCTCGATTTCCATATGCTAGCAAAAATAGGAGTCAAAATTCCTTGTTTCTTGATCCAAACCAATGCATAAGAGTACACCAAGTCATGTACCTAGCAAAAGGCACACAAACATTTCCATGAGAGAAAATCTAATCTAAAAAGAAGAGAAAATGAAAGCAATAAAAACCTTGGGTTAATTCCCGAGAAAGGCTTGTTTAACGTCCAAGCGAGACCGCTCTAGTAAATAATATTGCAACGAACGCAAGAGCTTATCAAATGCACTATTACACATTTCATATGATAACAAGTAGGCAAATGAAGGGAGGAGGACGTGCAACAAGATTATTGCACGTAAGTGAGGAGGAAGATGCCAAAAGAAATAAGAAAAATCAAGAAAATAAGAAGAGAAAGAAGAAGAAAAATAAGGAAAAGAATAAAAAGGCAAAACCTCCTCAAAATCTTTTTGGGTGGCACAATCACCCATTTCCTCAATAATAGGAGGATGAAAAGGGAGAGTCTCATCAAACAAGAGAAGGTCCTCAATAGGCTCTTTGACAAAAGAAGGGAGGAACATGGGATAGTAGGAGATGTGGTCAAATTTCCTTGAGAAAGGGACATGGGGAAGGGGAGGAGAAACAAAGGTCTCACATGGCCTCACATCACCAATGAGGGCATGAAAATCAATCATAGAATCCTCAAAAGAACACTCATGACTCACATCTCCCTCAAACAAAAACTCTCCAATAGAAACAACCTTATCCTCCTCTCTATCACAACGATGAACAACAACTCCCTCAAGATCCTCAAAGCCTAAAGTCTCTAAACCATGCATGAAAGGATAAAGGTTTCTCTCAAACTCATCCCTTTCCCATGAAGCATTGCCAATGAACTCTCTCAAGAGGCTATAATGATTTGTTAAACCTTCAATGAACATACTAGCCATAACCTCAAATGAGTCCAAAGACTCATGGATAGAAGGGTCACCAACATGCAAGGTGGACTCATCAAGATGGGGAAGGGGGTTTGAATCCTCAAAATTGACATTTTCTTCATTCACAACTCCTCCACCATCACTTAAGGGACTCTCAATCTCTCTTGATTTCTCAAACTCACCATTATCATCCTCATGAACTCCCTCATTCAAACATGAAGATGGCTCACTCACATCCTCACCAAGGAAGCTCTCAAAGGGGGTGAATAAGGGGAAGGATGGCAATCAAGCTCAAATGGGGAAGGGAAAGGATCAAAATCCTCAAAAATCCTCTCATCATAAGAAAGTCTCCCCTACCTTCACACCCTTGCCCTACATCATCCTCAACAACACTCTCACACTCCAAGTGAGGTGCCTCACGTCCATCTAAATTAAACATAGCACTCATCACTTGGGCAAGCCTCACTTCTCTCAATTTTTGTTCCTCTTGAAGCTCTTGGAGTTGTTGGGTGAGATATTGCATTTGAGAGAGAATTTGGGCATCAATGTTATTGGGTTGAGGTTCATGATCAAAGTCAAATTGCACATCATCAAAATTAACACAAACTTCATCAAAATGAGCATAAGGGGGAAAGGTGTCAATTTGCATACTAGGATCATCACAAGGCACATAAGAAGTATCAAGATAATTCATGCAAAAATTAAAAGAATCTTGACATTGAGAATCAAAATAAGAAACATGAGATTCTCTATCTAAAGAATCCCTAGCAAACCATGTGAAGAAATCCCACGCATCATGCATAGACAAATGACAAAATCTACCATTATTCATGTCCTCAACCATTCCCCTAGTATACTCATTCATGCCCCAATAAGCTATACCACAAGCATCACTAAGAGAACACCCATGGTGACTAAGAAAACCATCTAGTCTTTCAAAGTAAGCATAGAAGGGTTCACCATCAAATTGAGGAAAAGATAAGCATGCCATTTTTATACAAAGAACAAATAAAAGCAAATAAAAATCAAATAATGTACAAGAACCTAGCTAATCTAATCAACACAAACTAATAAACGCCTTAGTCCCCGGCAACGGCGCCAAAATTTGATCGAGGGTAGAAGTAGGCAGCACCGGCTAAAGCAAAGTTCAAGCGAGCTTTAAAGATCGACAAGCGTTGGTCTTTGGTGATTTTCTTCTGAATATTATCACAACAACTGAGGATGACTTCAAGTAAAGTTATTTTTGACAGTGTTCACTAAGATTGTGGAAGTTGTCACCCAAGATTTGAGAATATAGCACGAAATGGGCGGTCTTCGACGGCATTCGCTAAAATTGTGGAAGTTGTCACCAAATATTTGAAAAGATAGCACGAGATGGGCGGTCTTCGACGGCATTCGCTAAGATTGTGGAGGTTGTCACCAAGATTTGAGAAGATAGCACGAGATGGGTGGTCTTCGACGGCATTCGCTAAGATTGTGGAGGTTGTCACCAAGATTTGAGAAGATAGCACGAGATAGGCGGTCTTCGATGGCATTCCCTAAGATTGTGGAGGTTGTCACCAAGATTTGAGAAGGGCGGATCGTGATGAGGCGGTCTTCGACGACTTTTGCTATGATTGGAAAGGTTGTCACTATGATTCAAGAAAGAGGCTCGAGATGTAGCAGCATTGATCGACGGCGTTCCCTAGATTGCGGAAGATCGTCAAAACAAACAGCAAGATGGCGTTCCCTAGATTATGGAAAGTTGTCACAACAACAATACAGCATCAAATCGGTTACTTCCAGAGACGTGTGCTCGGCGGTGCAAGATATGCGTTTCTTAACTCTCTTATCTGTTTAACTAACGCTAGTTTGCAGGTATCGGCGTTACAAGAGTGATTTAGGATCGCAGAATATTCTGAATTATTCTCCGTCCCTATCGATACTTTGACTTTTGTTTTCGAAACTTGCGTTTCTCCAAACTCAGTCAAAGTGGGGGCTTCTGTAGACACCCAAATGTGTCTCCCCAAAACCAAACCCAGTGATGAATACCTTTCATGTCATTTGATTATAGAACATAGCGAAATTCTGAAAAGTCTAGTGATAAGGATGTTTTTATTAAAAAAAACAGAGATGATGATGATGTACCTCTTCAGTCAAGAGTAGAAAAATTGAAAAAAAAACCGCGAAAAGACTCCAATTGTAGATCCTGAACTTTTAAAAGATATTGACAAGTCAAGTGGTACAGATTTAAACATGTCTCCAATTCCAAGGTATATAATCATTTACAAAATACATTATGTTCATTTTTAATATGCTATTTGTATCCGATCATATGCTTTTATGATTGTTTAATATGCTATTTGAATTTGATCATTTATAATGTTATCATGATCTTAGTTATATCATTGTATATGATCATATTTGATACTCATAATGTTCATTTATAGAGATAGTTATGATTTATATAGTTATATTTGTTCTTTGAGTATTCATTGTGGCTTAACTAACAAATGCACATATCATTGAAACTCCATGCACATTTAGTAATATGATAACAATCATTTCAGTTGTATGCATTCAAACTAATACCCTGTAATTAATTTATATTGTAGTGATGTACCATTTAGAGTGATACACTTGCTTCAATTTAGAGATGGAAAATCTGAACCATTAACTCTAAAGAAGGCTATAGAACAAAATGAAATTGGTAGTAGCTGTCAAAGATACAATTTAAACAAGTAAGTTTATATGTATGAAGTAGTTGTTTTTATATGCAATAATTGTACATTGTGTATATATATCAAACTTATTAGGTAATTTTTAAAATTTTAGTGAAAAAAAAAAGGTTCGAGTGAAATTTTTTATGTCAAAATCAAGACCACCAAAGACAAATCAACAAATAAGGTATAAAAATTTTATACCAAAATAACTAGTTCTCTTCTTCATAATATAAATTATTTCATACTTGAATATCATATTATATAAAATAATCCTAATTTTTTTAGTGAACAAAGTGAGAATGTCTCTGCTACTCAAACTGAGATTGGAAATCAATCTGCACAAGAGAGTAGGGATCAATGGTATGCTAATGCTCACTTTTGTATTCAGAAATGTTCATTTTACATACAATATATATTCATTTGTTTTTTTACCAAATTAGAATTAATAAATATATACAATATTCAGTGACAAGAATGTGGAGCAAAAAGAGGATACAACTACATCTGAAAAAGAAAAAGATGATGTTGATCAAAGGTATTAATAACAATGTTCATTTTACATACAATATTTGTTCATTTGTTTTTTTTACCAAATTAGAACTAATAAATATATACAATATTCAGTGACAAGAATGTGGATACAAGTACATCTGAAAAAGAAAAAGATGATGTTGATCAAAGGTATTAATAACAATGTTCATTTTATTATAGATACAATGTCTATTTTGTGTACCATTTATGTGCTTTTTTATTAAAAGTATTACTTAATTTTGATTTCAGCAAGGTAAAAGAAATTGAATCAGAGGGGAAAAGCAATACAGAAAAGGATACTGCTAAGCCAAAGTAAGGAATATTAAATGTTCATTTTATATAGACTTTATGTTCATTTTATATTTAATTAGTCAAAGTTATAAATTCAAACATGTTTTTAATGAATTATCAGAAAAGCCAAAAATGATGATCAAAAGAAGCCAAAAATTATAACTTTAAAGGAGAAGATGCAACAAATACATTTAGACATAGAAGAAAACCCAAAGTATGTTTAAATTTGAAGAACTGAATTAATTTAAATAAATAATGTATGTATATGAATATTTTACTATAATATCTCACAATTACAGGAAATACAAAGAATCCACAATGTTAATCATGAAAAATTTCAAAAAGAAGGAAGAGTTGATCAAGAAATTTAAGAAAGGTAAATGTTCACCTCTATAAAACACTTCTATCTAATGTTTATATATATCAATAATATTAATCATATTTATTTTGTAGGTGAAGAAAAACATAAGGCAAAAGGGCTTGTACCAAAGAAAATTCATGATAAAGAAAAAAGCCCTGAAAAGAAAGAGTTGAAAGGTAAGAAAATAAAATGCACATATTTATTACATAATATGTACATTTTTTATATGTATAATTACTTATTGTATTGTTTAAAAAGTTTGATCAATTTCAATTTTGTTAAAAGGACAAGAGGAAAAAGGACATGAAAAGGAGAAAAGTCCTGAAAAGAAAACTGTGGAATATGATTTTCCAAAACCAACAGAGATGAAAGATACTACTGGAAATAAGAAGGGTAATATTATTTATATAAAATGTTCATTTATATTGTATATAATAAACATTTGTCATTCTATTTATATAAATGTTTATTTAATGTTTTATGTTTGATCATTTTATTTGCAGCACAAATGGCATCTGATTATGTTGAAATTGAGGATGAGACTAATCTGATAGATTCAGATATGAATAATGAATTGACAAAATTAAGTGAGGAGCAGCTCACTTATCTCAACAGAGTGAACAGTCAACAAAAAAGAATGCAAGATACAAAATGGTTGCAAGAAAAAACAAAAATAAAAGCCCTATAGTGCCAAGTGGAAGAGTTACAAGAAGCCAAGGTAAAATTAATACTATTGTATTTAATTTTAAATAGCACATTTTTAACTTACTAACATAAAATTTTAAAAAACAACAAATGTTTTATTAGATGAACCTGATAAGCAAGGCCAGAAGGAGGCAACTGATAAGCAAGGCCAGAAGGAGGTTCTGAATAGAAGAGTGTCTCCAAGGTCTTCTCCTATGCAAAAGAAATCTGGTGCAAAAGCTGCAGAACCTACTCCAATCAAGAAAATGGCAGGTGCCCCTGCTGAATATGTTGCAGCACCTCTTAAAACGAAAGGTAAATGTTCAATTCTATAAAATGTTATTAAATATTATAAAATCAAAGATTTGTATGTAATATACAAAATTTTATAATTTATGTAGGTGGGAAGAAGAGATCTACAGAAGAAATGAAGGAGAGTTCAAAGGTTGCTGGAAAAAGAAAAGCAGGTATATAATGTTATTATAAATGTTCAATTTCAATACATAAAATGATCATATATAATGAAATAATTATTCATTTTTGTTCAATTACAATACATTTAATAATTATATGAGATGTTCAATTTTCAGTGGTCAGCCCTGCCAAGAAAAATGTTGGGAAGAGGAAAAAAATACAAGAAGTACCATCTGATGAACCATCTCAGGATCCTTCTGATGAAAGTTCCACTGACAGTGGTGATGACAGTGAAGAATCTGTCTACAAAGGTGAACAAGAGTGTAGGGAATAATTTCAAGCCTTTAAAATCCCACTAGCTTGAACCCCACTGTGATCATACACTAAAGTACGGTGGCGTCCAAAAGGGAAGAAGATAGAGCAAAAGAGTCGCCAACAAGTTTTTTAGGAACTTGTAAACCGTTCACGAGGTGAATATTACACCCCTTAACGATCCAAGAGATCGTCAACTCCATAAGGTCTAGAACCAATTAAGGGTTCGGGGATGATGGTACAAATCCAACCTAAAAGAGATTGAACCTGCCCTAATAATAGGCCTCTACTTTATTCTGATCGTATTCATGTGCGCTTTCTAATTAACATGCAATCAATAGGATTAACCCTAAACCTGTTGGAAAAATGGAAATTAAAAATCCAACCTTTGCACTTTTTCTTCCTAAAAATCCAACCTTCATTTTATTCCACAAAAATCCAACCTTCATACCCCCCCTTCTCCAACAGATCCATTTGACCTTTAACCTGATTAACAGGTTAATTTTTTTTTTTTAATTTTCTCACTTTCCCTTCTCACTCCTCTTTCTCTCTCCTCTCTCCACAAAAACGGAAATAACCAACCCACCCACCTGCTGCCCCCCTGAAACCACAAGACCCACCCACCTGCCGCCCCGAAACCCCAATTGCCACCCTCTTGCCGCTCTGATATCCAACCCCAAGTGATTTCCTCTTTCCTCTACGTACTACCGCATCCTAATTCGTGATACTGCGATGTTTTTCGGCGATGATTTTTGGGTGGTACGGTCTGTTTCAAAGCCCAAAGGTTGTTTTAATTTGTGGGCAGGTATTTTCGTGGCTGGGCGGTTTTAATTGGTGGCTGGGCGGTTTGTGGGGGGTTTGGGTTTGGATCGGAGTTGTTGGCTGGGTTTATTTCTTGGTGGCTGGCGTATTTGTGGGTTGGAGGGTTGGAGCAGGTGCGGTTTTGAGGGTGGAAATAGAGTTGGGCGGTGGTGCGAGCTAGGTTGTGGACGGAAAGGGAGGGTAAGGGGAGGATGGTCGAAAAGGGAGGTGGTGAGGAATGGTGGCCGAATTTAATGGAGGATGGAGAAAATTGAAAAAATAATCATGGAGGTTGGTCAGATGGGGGGGGGGGAAGAGGTGGCTGCCGGAAATTTTTGGGGCTGCCAGATAATTTAGAGGAAGAGGGTGGGTATTCCGGTGGCCGGTGGGGATAGGGTGGGCTGGGAAGGAGGGTGGGCTGGGTTTCTAAATTTTTTTTTAATTAATTTTTTTTAATAATTAAAATTATAATCGACCTATTAATAGTTGACACGTGGCATCTAACTTAAAAAACCGGTCATCAACAGGTAATGGACCTTTAGATTCAGGGGGGTATAAAGGTTGGATTTTTGTGGAATAAAATGAAAGTTGGATTTTTAGGAGGAAAAAGTGCAAAGGTTGGATTTTTAATTTCCATTTTTCCAAACCTGTTTAATCTATGTTGGTTGAATTTAATGCACAAATAAATCTATTATTGGCGATCACTGGAATTATAATCATATTAACCCTAACAAGATTATTAATATCTTATTAAGCGTGATTACAAGTATAGATTCCCTTTAAACATGCATAAAGGCGTGATCAAGCAATAAAATATCAAGCAACATGATAAATTAATTATGATCATGAATAATAATTATAAATAAAATAATCATCATCAAAATAATAATAATATTCATAATCATCATAAATTATAACAATTATAAACATAATCATATTCATGTTAATATTAAAGCATAATAAAAATATCAAGATCCTAGGCATGATACTAACAAGATTAATAACAAACCCTAGCATGTCACTAAGCATTAAAAATCAAATCTTTAACCCTAACATGATACTAACAATCATAAATATTAGGAAGAACATAGGAAGCATCGCAACAATCATAATTAATATTAAAATTACCCTAGACATGATATTAGGAATATCATAATAACAATGTAAACATGATTTCTACATCATAATATCAATTAAAACAATTAAAGTACTTACTTCGATGCCTCGTACCTCTTTCTAATAACAAAATACACACATTAGTAACTTCAAGGAAAATAATAAATCAAAACAATTAAATTAAATAATTGAAATAGAGATTTGGGACCAAACCCTCAGAAATTAAAACCTTTCACGTCTAGGGCGAAGGCAACTTCGAATATGGCTAGGTGTTTCTAGATCTTGTGAATGCGGAATTTTGTATGAAAACAAAGTAAGAAAGAATTGAAGATGAATGAATTAGAGAATGCTAATTAAAACTTGTGAATGAGGAGAATTTTGAATGATAGATGTAGATGATGAATGATGATGAATGGTGGATGAATGTAGATGATTGATGGTGATGAATGGTGAATGAATGTAGATGATTGATGGTGATGAATGGTGGATTAAAACGGAGTTTTTAATACGATATTTATAGAGAAAATCAGCCAAAAAAGATAAATTAACAAAACAGAGTCTGACGCTCAGAAAACAGGGCTGGTGCCAACCCTAGCTAGCTGGCGCCATGCACCAACACTAGCGCCAGGCGCCAGTGGCTAGCGCCAGGCCTGGGGTTAGGCGCCAAGCCTGATTCCAACGCGTTTTCGAAAATTCGATAAGTTTACCGTACTGGAGGATAAAATAATATAATTTCTTCGAAAATGCTATTTGATCTTGATTAAAACTCTGAAAAGTCAACAAAGTCAACTTATCAATGCTAATCGAATTAGGAATGAAAAGAACCTTCTAGAAGATTCTAGAAGACTAAAACCATTCCTAATTGCATTAGGAATGATAAATCATATTAGGCCCTCCCCTAGATCATTGGGCCGTACATAAAGCTCAAACCGGACCCAGTTTGGTAAATTGGCCATAACTTCCTCAATATTCATCGGAATTGGGCTTATAATATATCGTTGGAAAGGTCTTTTCAAACCCCATCCAACTACACCACTATTGGACCCATATCATGGACCAACCAAACTGGATTTGCTGTTTTCTTAAAATAAAGTTTTCAAAAACAGAAAGAAGAGAAAAGAAAATAAAACTTTCCGCAACACTAGACCTTTCCACACTTTCGTTTCATTCGATTATGATTCGACGTGAAAGGTACTCATCACTGGGTTTGGTTTTGGGGAGACACAAATGGGTGTCTACAAAGAGCCTGTTAGTGAAGATGATGAAGAATTTGAGCAGGAGGAGGAGGAGGAGGAGGAGGTTGAAGAAAAGCCAAAAAAGAAAAAGGCAAAGAAGGAGAAGAAGAATTTGTATACAAAGCTAGTGAAGGCAAAGGCTGAAGAGGGGGAGCAGAAGTTGGTTGTATATAAACCAGAAGGTGAGGGTAGTAGGGGTAAGAAAAAACTGAAAACAGAAATAGTTGAGAGGGAGGAAGTATAGGAAATTCCACAAGAGGAGTTTGAGGAAGAGAAAGCATCAACCAGAGGGGGGCATGTGAAGTTGATGTAGTGGATAAAACAAATGACTGAAACACAGAAATCAGAGATAGAGGAGATTGGATTAGGACCCCTACTTCAAATCCAGTTACCTCAGTTGGATCAAACTTTCTGTTATTGGATTCTGAACAGTTTTGAAGAAAATAGTCAAACTTTTGAACTTCCTAAAAATCAATCGATTGAAGTGGATGTAGAGGATGTTAGGATAGTGTATGGACTACCAATGGGGGAAATTCTCATTGTTGAAGCAAAATCAGAAAAAGCAAGTGAGGAGTTTGAAAGTTTTATGAAGAAGTGGAGAGGAAAATGGAATGGAAAAATTCCTTCTGTAAGCCAAATTGTGGCAAAATACATCGACAAAAAGTTTGAGAAAAACAGACCTGATGATGAAGATTTCATTACAAACTTTTTGGTGGTGGCATTGAATGCATTGATAAAGTGCATACAAAGCAATCGGTGCCATTACAAGTTTCTCTATTCGACAATGAACAAAGAAAGAATCAAAAACTTGAATTGGTACCAATATGTTTATGATTCACTAATAAAGAATCATGTTGATTGGAGAAAACAGACACGGAAGGGGTTCTACAAAGGCCCCCTACAATTTCTGATGGTATGAATAATAATAAGCATGTGTTTTGATAATTGTTCAAATCTGTTTTCATATTTGTTCAAATATATTTCAATAATTGATCATATATACTAATGTTCATTTGATGATTGATAAATGTTCAAATAAGTTTGATAATCATATATAATCTGATAATTGTTCATTATTATTTCTTTTGTAGCTGTTCTATTTTGATAGATTTCAGAGATTGGATAAAAATCCACAAAGAACAATCCCAATCATTTCTGTATGGAAACGGGACATGGTTCTTGAAAGGATAAAAAATGAATTGGAATTGGGACTTGGTAAAGGGAAAATATTTCCTAGAATTGTTGAGAAAGCTGAAATCAGTCCCCAGGTGTGTAAAATGAACACTTTCAAATACATAAATACTCATTTCTATAATATGAAATGTACTGTTTTAATAATAATTATTTCTTTATGATCTAGATTTTCATGAATGAATTTAAGGATGTGGTGATTGAAACTGGTCGTTCCCTGTGAAAACTATCAAGCATACTATTGAAAGAAAAGGAAATAATTTCTGAGAATGACTTGGTAAAAAAAGTTGATGAGGTTATGGGGAAAATGGCACGGGAGCCATCAATCTTAAGCCAAGATGAGGAGATCTTTGGCTCAGAAGATTTCTTGAATGCCATTGCAGAAATTGAAAGGGAGTTTTTTAAAACAGCAGAATTGGAGAAAAACAAAAAAGGAAAACAGAAGAAGAATGAGTACAATATCAAAAAACCATTCAGCTTAGGACTTACTCCTCCATCTCCACAAATTGGTAAGAGCGAATTATAAGGGTTTATATGTTATATTGAATAAGTCTTATAATTTGTTTAACTAACAAATTTAATGAAATACAAAATCAGATCCAAGTCATCCAACATCTACAACAATTGGTGTTATTAGCACTGAAGCCTCTGCTTCTGTAGCAGTTGAAAAGCCTAGTGG